GTTTACAAGCCTAATGCGCTTATCACTCGACAAACGTTTCAATGTGATGTAGGTGTCACTCAGGGATGACTTTCTAGGCATAATTACATTTCTTAATGCTGTTCTTCAAAGTGTTTCCTATGTATTGACACTGGTGACTTGCCTTTAATGGAAATTAACGTTGACGTTGAGGTAACCATCAGCTGCATCTGGCCAATTTTCACCGACTTGACTACAAAATCCCCCTCCAAAACTGCGAAACATTCACCTTTTTGGTGCTTAACTATGGTGAGCCCGGGATTTTCAGAACTTCCCGATTGATGCATGTGAGGCGCAAAAAATTTGTATGGGAAAATTGCCGTTCACCTGTTCCAAGTGTATATGTCGGATGTATCATATTTGGAATCAGAGTTTCTGCTGCATGTATACAGACGCATCCAATGATGCAGTATAGTACATTGCGCTATGTTTGGATATCAGTCACTGGAGTTTATACAACCAATGGCCACTGTAACGCTGTTATAGAATTTCCCTTTGCCAGTAAGCAACTGCTTGAAAGGCGGTAGATATGAAACGCGATTTGGTATCTCCATAATTCCAATTTGTAATCCGGAGAGTACATTGATACGAAATGAATTGGACACACATCTGAGTACAGTGAAAGGCAAGGACTCCAAGTGTGGTTACAGTAAAAGTCAAGGACTCCAAGTGTGATTAGGCTTGACGTTCGCTTTTCTTCTCCCCCTGTAATGAATTACCATCACTGAGCCCGGACAGATCTGAAGGTCTTCTCGCTGACTAATTTATGAACACAAGCCCACTCATCAAGGCAACCACTTCTTGAACACGGCTCGGGAAATACCAGTAGTAGCCACTACGCAATGGGCTACACGGCTGTGTAATCCTCCTCTTCTGTCGAAAGGCTCGGCCTTTTTTATATGTGTTTCTGTAGTAACTCAGTGCACGACTCCTAATCGACGAGGTATTCCAAGACTCTCTGCGTGGTTTCTTAAAGCAGCCCAATGTTTTCCTTCGGTTAGCACTTGAGGGAACCTAAATTTAGGCGACCTCACTTCATCATGTATGTTCCACAACGTTTGGTCCACATTTGTCTCATAAAGTTTGATTAGCTTCAAGAGTTACTGGGCTAAGAAAGCTACATCTCTTAGATCCTATGGCTGGTAGTTTACTACAATCATAGCCCTCAAAGGGGAATTTTACAGGCTGTGACGGTGATTTGAGATTTTCAGTCCCAAACGTCGAATCTGAGGCTTCACAGCCGTCGAAATTTCAGTGATGCGCACTGCGTACGATGCATAGAGTAGTAGGCATCAGCCCACAAGCCTCGACCTTGGAGACAGAGGGCTTGAAGAATCGAATCGAGTATTGCAGGCAGTGTTTTCTTTTGAATCGTAAGAGAAGAGGATTGCGTGGTCCGGCTATATGGTCTCACTAAGGCATTGTTATTGTGTGTTATTGATCGCATCGAAGCCTTAGGCATGAAGACTGTACTGGTGGCTACATTTGGAGTGGCAATGATCTGGAAACCAGTAGCATTGAACAGAGCTTCCGGAACATCAACCTCAAGGCACCCTTAGAGTTTCACTTAGATATGAATTCTGGGCTCTCAGATGCGCCATATGGCCAGAACAGTGCTTATAAGATATCCCTCGCATGATGGATTTACGTTCACGGTGTTTAGCTCATTTCAGCACCAAACAGCCTGACCAAGTTGACTCTGATGTCATTTTTTCGTCGGCTTTAATTGCTGGGTAGCAGTCATATTGTTTTTCCAGACGGAAGGTTTACTGAAACGTTGTTTTAAGAGAGAGTTGTGTTTACGACAGTTTCTGAAGAGTTGTCCAGCTTCAAACAGCTTTAATCAACTAATATTTTAGAGAAAGTTGAAGTGGGGGACAGCAAGCGCATACATCTTGTCATTTTTGATGAAAGGTACGACGCATTACAGTCTCTACACATCTTGTCAGCACATTAGTCTGCATACTCTTCCAAAGATCATCGTTACTAAAACCTATTTTTTGTTGCAAAAATATTTGTAATGAAGATCCTCTGCTCCTCGACAGACCCCTCAAGTGACTAACAATGTCATCATATATCTTACACACATACTGCACAACTTTATGTATCAAATATTATTTTGAATCACCTAATACAAGTACGCATTTGATATATAATTTGTGATTGCTAGTTGAAATCGTTATGTACGCATAGTTTCAAATGAGAGTTTATCAGGTCGATCAAGCCCAGAAATAGGTGGTACATGAACACATCATTGAACATAGCTGAATGTGGAAATATCAATCGATTCGTCATGTAATTGTCAATCATACTCACGAACAGCCAAATACGTCAACATGCTGCAGTCATGTATTGATCTGGAATAAGATAAAGACGCCGGCTGTAGAACTGTTTGCTTTAGAATGGACAGTCACAACGCTGACTTGATTTGAGGCCCGTATGTGCTCTACCTATCAATTACTATAACGTAATAAGACACGCAAAATAAACGAACACATTGTTCGACTTCCAGTTGCACTTGACACGCAAGCCTAATAACTTCACACCTTTACAAATTATATACACTTGGTAACGACTTCTCCTAACAACCCTATGTAGCTTATCACGATAATTATGAAAAGAAATCAAGATTCGTATATGTGGGCTGGACTGAGAGTTCTGGGTAAAAAGTGTAAGTGGCGGGATTAATGTACAGTTTCTACATATTTATTTACATAATCCCTGATCCGTGCAGAGGGCTCCTCAACTCCCGCATAAATATCTCGAACATATCCGTAAAGAGCAGTTATCAACTGGTTTACGTAGTAGATGGGATGAAAACCACTAGCCACATGCTTCTTAAAATGAATCAAAGTTTGCAACCCTCCAGCTTGCAAACTTCAAGAATACCTTCCGCCGCTCCAATCCGGAAGGAGACGATGCAAGAAAATGTAAATATGCTGATGTACAGATTTCATGTTGTAGCATAGCTGTGCATCACTCTGTGTATGTACTACCTTAGAGTCAGCCTTTGGAAGCGGAGCAGTAACTCTCCTGACTCCTCCCAAAGACCCAACTCACAAATAGAGTAACTGTACGGAGGAAGTATATGATGCTACCTGGATCGATTGTATACAGATATATACCGAATTGATCAACATGATCTGTCTTAGATTCGTTGGTTAAAGGTGTAAGTCGTTAACCTAATTTCAGTACCAATTCACAAGTGTAATATTGGTGCAACTTTCAACTCCACGCATACAATCTTACTTAGAACAGAGTTGTCATCAATCATCCTAGCTTCGGGCCAAGTACCAAATGTAGCTATAATACTAATAATGTATATATATAATCTACATAAATCTCGCTCACGTATTCTACAGTAGTAACTTTGATTCTACAAACCTCTCTGGAAGAATAATAGGGGAGCTTATTGTTGATCGGTCTCTGTGCAATCAGGACGGAAAAGAAAGCAACCACAAGCAAAGATCTCTACTTACAAAAAGCTGCAACTGTGAATCGGTCCTATGAACATGGCAGATATTTTATGGACCATAACTTCGCAGTCTGGGCTTCTGTTTCTCCTCCTTACTTGTCCTTAAGTTCTATCGTCTATGTTAATGTTGTTGAAGGACTGGCTAAAACTGAGTGATTTCCATGATTGAAAATTTTCATAATGCATCATCAATCTGCAAGCCTGCAATGAATCCATAACAAATATGTGCATCTATGTGGTGCCCACCTTCCATCTGGGATTCCAGGACATGGGACTATACGATATTATTCATGATACGTTTTAAGCTTCGCTGCTCGTTACCCCTAGCGAAGTAGGCCATCATGGCATCTCATCATTACACTTGTGATTTATATACCTGTTTTTGACTTATGCAAAGTTGTACGCTCCTAAACAGGATAAATATACAACTGCAGACTGAACCCAGCGACACGGTGGCCAATCGAGTTGTTATGAACTCCAGCCTCACAAGGCATCAATCTCCTCTAGAGGCTTGGGATATTTTCTAAGCCTACAGCAATGCAGTACGTTAATACGCATATGAGACGGAAATGATGGCCATGATGTGAAACGATCTTATTTCATTATCGGGAAATGAACGATTTTTAATCTTGGTGCAGGCGTCTATCACGTGGACGGTACTTGTTGAATAGTTGGCTTGAAATGGTAACGATTCATGATCCACGCGTCAGCAAGCCATCGATGGTTTACCCTGCATTTCGATTGTTGTATTTCTTCGAATTGCATCATCCATACATAGGTGGTTTTGAGAGTTGACCATGCTGAACTTATGGTGATGTACTTTCGCCCTGCACCAATTGCCAAAGCTCATTTAAAATCGGTAACCTTTGACTAGTTTCAGTCTTCTTTTTCATTTCAACTTTCTTGGACCCTCCTTACTGTAACTCGTGTTATGGGAATTTGCATCTAACCTTGTAACATGAGCCAATTCCGCTATTGAGCAAAGGATTTTCCGCTCGTATACACAACAGTTAATTACATTTGAATACTAATGTTGATTCCTTTTAAACTAGAAACTCCTTCACGCCTCAATCCTACAAAAGTTAAACTTGTTTGGAGAAATGACTATGAAATATCCAACCTAGAAGTAAAATAGTTGGAAATATGTATATATAATATCATGATACAACATACATGACGAAGAAATTAATGGCAGTCAGGGCGCATTGATTCCGCTCATAAGAGATGCTCTTGGATCAAAGGTTGATTCACCCATAAGGTCTCAGAATTGAGGTTTAACTAGCACAGATAAGAATCCAAATAAAGTGGTGATTGGTTTAGAAGTAAAATGTCTTTCAGACAAGATAGCGAAGAATAAAATGAGCTAATGAAACACAGTGTCAATTTAGGCACAGAGAAGCTCGCAAAGAAATAATTTCAGCACTGAAATTTAAAATAGCAACAAAAGAATAGAGCCCAATACCAAAGCAGAGCCTGTTCTCAAGTTGGCAGCAGCACCTTCGAATGTAGAAACGGTAGCAGCTGGAGCCGTAGCAACTGGAGTTGTGACAACGGTGGTCTCAACAGTTGGAGCCTTGGTGGTCTCTGGAGCTTCGGTCTTTGGGGCTTCAGTCTCTGGAGCTGCTAGTGTCGAAGTCTTTGTTGTCACAGTAGCTTCTGTTTTACCTGCTGGAGTAGTTGTTTCAACAACAGTGGTCTTACCTTCAGTTGGGGCAGGACCGACTGGTTGGGTAACAACAACAGTTGTAGATAATGGACAGTATGTGGTGTATTCAGTTGGAACTCCGCCTTCTGTCTTTGTGATAACAGTGACACCTGTTGTGACTGGAACAGTGTGACATTCCTCCTCGCACGTAGTAACAGTGACAACAGCGCTTGTTGGAGCTGGCTTCACAATGGTCTTGGTGGTGTAAACAACTGGGGCAGGAGTTGGAGTTGGCTTTTGAGTGACCGTAGTAGTGAGTGGACAGTAAGTGGTGTACTCAGTGACAACGCCTCCCTCAGTCTTGGTTACAATGGTCACACCAGTAGTAACAACGACAGGAGTGCACTTATCCTCAGCACAAGACGTAATGGTTACAACAGTTGTCTCCGCAGCAGTCTCTGTGACAGTTTCAGTGGACAATGGGCAGTAAGTCGTGTACTCGGTGACAACACCAGCAATGGTGGTGGTAACAACAGTGACACCAGTGGTAACAGGGGTCTCAGTGCACTTATCATCCGAACAAGAAGTGATAGTGACAACAGTTGTGGAAATATCCTCCTCTGTAGTGGTAGAGGTGACTGGAGCACTTGAAATGCTTGAAGCATCATCTTCAATAGTGAAACTCAAATCATAAGTGGTAACAGCTCTCTTTACCAGCTTCTGGTCTGCTGTGGAGACAGAAAGAGTGGCAGAAATGCTGTATGGGTTACCACCAGTAGCAGTGGCATAAATAAGGAAGATCAAGTCATCTTCATTGAGAATAGCGTTGAAGTAAGCACCTGCGAAAGTGTCGTCAGTAGTGGTACCGGCGCTGACAGTTTCATCAGAGATGGCGATGTCAACAGAGTCAAAGACGTAAGCAGTATCATCATTTGATCCTGAAACTTCGACACCAGTCCATGGTCCAAGAGAGCCTGGAACGACAATCTCAAAGACTGGAGATCCCTCCTCACCAATGTAACCAGTGATGTATGGAGTACTTTCAGCAGCACTGGAGGAAGAGGAGGAGATTATGAAACTCTCACTAGAGGATGGCAATTCTGAAGAAGAACTGTTGGTCCATTGAGCAGAAGCAACAGCTGCGAAGGCAGCGTAAGCAAAAGTGTTGAAAGAAACCATAGCGAGCGATTGTTCAATAAACTACCTTTTTAGATGTGATTAAAAGTTATAGCGGTTAAAACGACTTCATCTGAGAAGCGATCTTTCCATCCTTTTTATACGATTCTATCCTGCTAACCCATGACTTCCTTTCATAGCTCTATTTATAAAATAACAGTTAAGGTTAAACTTTCAACACTTACTCAACCTTATACATGTTGTGTTAAACTGTTTGCCAATATGCCAATAGAGTTATCTTGGTCTTGTTGCTACAAATTATACACTTCGCATAAATACTGACGCATCACGATGTATAATAAGGGAAGTAATACTCACAATAAATCACAATGATAACAACAATAAAAGTTATCGTAAGGTCACCGATGGCTCCTAAAGACCAAGTTCGAACAGGGTCTAACCATCTGTTCTTGTTTTTTTGGTCTGTTGAAAGAAATCCACTATCTTCAATATTTTCCATCCTTTGAATTGCTTGCAGATCTCAAAACGCTATGGCAAACTGGAAAGATCTGGTGAGTGTTTTCAATCTGCATATGATTGATCATCCAAGCACAATAAAGCAATTTTTGAAAGGGGTTGGAGTATGGAGCCTTTTCATTCTCCTGTTTCAGGAAATTAGTAATAGCAACAGATCTCAGATACAGACAAGTCCGTTCAATCTAACGATGAGCATTTCTTTTTTTGGAATCGGTGATTCTTTTTACCAACTTGGATTGTTGCATCAGGGGGGCTCACACTACACATAGAAGGCCTTATTCAGCTCAGTAGTTTATTATCATATCGTTTCCAGTAGTCCTTTCATAGCAATCAACAAACGCAACACGTATGATTACATGATATTCCACATAACGATCTACTCCCTTGTGTACAATTCCACTGCATGTATTTTTGCTGGAATAAACTCCTTTCGCCTCCTTTAACTGGCTCTTTTTTCGGCTAATTCAAATCATAATTGGTACCGCCAAAGTCAGCCACTCACCTCGCTATATTACTAATTTCAAATACCCCTGTGCAATGTGGGCCTGTACACTGTGGGCCCATGCGTACTGTGGGCGTGTGCACTGTGGGCCTATGCATACTGTTGTTGCAGTTGAAGTGCGGAAAAATTGAAAATGAATGTGGCCAGCCAAAATCAGACACTCGCAGCTCGCCAGCAATTTGGTGGTGGCTTGCTATAATTAGCGATGGTGGATCGGTTTCATGTAGCTGGTCTTATTAGGTAGATATGTGCATGCAAGCTAGTAGGGGAAAGGAGGCTTCGCAGTCTTCAATAAGGGTTTCCTGGGTTATCGCGGATCGGGAGCTCCACCGTCCATATCTATGGTAAGACGCTTCAGCTCGGGCTGGTTGAGAAGGAGCGGTTGTAAAAACACCGTCTAACGATCTCTAATGGTTCTACTTGAAAGACAGGTCGGTAAACTACATCCGACAGGTATTACAAGAATTGATTGTGCTTCTACAGAACAGTGAGATTAGAAGAACGTTACGGAATTGTGGTTCTGAATTCAAAGCCATTGCATGATTCAGAGCCAAATGATTTTCAATCTCCAAGTCTATGCAATGGAACCTAGCAGTGTGTAAGTATTCTGAGTTAGAGTTCACATACAGACCTTTTCCTGAAAAGGCAGCAGCATACATGCAGGGGGAGACGCAAGAAAAAAACTCACTTTCCCAACTAGGAAATAGCGTTCGATGCGAATGAATGGTTGCCCGGGATCTTGGGAATATGGAACCTACCTGCTGGAAGGTTTAAAAGGGCTGTTTTACTTTGGCTGAGAGAAACACATGTTACCAATCCCAGGCTAGGCAACCTTGGCGTCACTCTACAACTCCACCACCAGTCAAGTAGTATGGCCTTCAGCTCTTAGTTCCGGATCAAGAGACTGTGCAAACGTGAGAGTTTTTGTCTGCATCATAACTCTTTTTTCTACTCTTTGTGCATGGTGTTCTAAGCCTAAGATGGGAAAAGATGAGGTTACTAACACCGCACTCTGCCCACCATCGTTGGCAGCATGGCTTCCAAAACTACAGATAAGACACCACAGATTCATACCGCAGTAGTGACAGTATGTCATACAACAAATCATAGAATTACAAAATAGCTTACATAAGTAGATCAGCAATGTCCTCAAGCCTTTTAGCCTCTTCCTCAGAGAAGTATATAACATCAGAGCGGAACTCGTCCTCCAGGCTACCCCCAGCCGAATCATAAGCGCACCAAAAGCTCTTGTTGCACATCTTAGCTTTCACAAGAGAAGATGGGGACTCGAGTATACTGCTTTCCACTTTGATTTCCTGCCTTAAGGGAATGATGGATGCGTTGAAGTCGATACGGGACTGGAAGTGTTCTTCCAATTTGCGCTCATCTTTGTTGAAAGAAGTGTAGTACTTCATGTTAATATCCTTCCCAAGTTTTCTTCTCTTTACATCGCAATTCCTCACACCATTTGTAATGAACAGAACGTTCTCCTTGCCGTTCTCTTCTAAAGAGTCGAAATGTATACGGTGTCTTGAACAGATCTCCTTAGCTCTAGGCTTGTGGGTTTTCCTGTTGATGTTTTTTGTGAATGAGCCAACAATTCCAGCGGGTATCGGATGCTTGTACAAGGAAGATGTCGAACCGTCAACCAACGATCCTATCCATACCATGTCATCTTGTAACGTCTTACTCGAGCCCTTCGATATGAGCGTCATCGCTATTACCAATCCGGTAAAGTGCTTCTTCTTGTTCAGCATGATGACATCAGATGCAACCTCTTGGGCTCTTCTCTCACCAAAGATTCTTGTGCTGTTCAAAACCGCATTACCAACTCTATTCATTCCAAATATTCTACTGTCTTGTCCTGATGGGAACCATTTCTCGAGTGCGTTGAACTCAAGAACCTCCACTTCTTTATCCAGTCTCAAGCTTGGGAAGAAGTAGGACCCTGTTGAGCGGTACTCTCTGGATTCGAGCTTTTTAAACAGTTTTTTGGACATTGGCACCACAGATTTATCTAAGAGTATCACATCTTCGAACGATGAGAATGCGATTGCAGCCAAATACCAAAGCTTACCGTCGTCGTTGTTCATAGCACCCTTAAGAGGGTCTCTAACCATATTTCCGATATCAACCGTCCAGACATCTTTAATTGGAGGAAAGTCCCGAATGGTGCTTCCTTCTAAAGGCTCTATATTTGACATAAAGGCATTGCGCAAGTCGACCTCATCTTGTGAATCGAGACTCTCCGCATAGACAATTTGCACTGGATACTTGACCTTCAGAGCTCTCAAAACTTTGGCCATCTTAACAACGTCCTGCACATCACTCTGAGATTTGATAGGAATCACAATTCCCTTACCGTTAAAAGAGTGGTACAACGTGTAGAGAGTAGACTGCCATGGGTTGCTGGAAATCTTTGCACCCGATCTTATAGAGGGAATTGAGGCCTCTGGGAACTTCTTCCCTAACTTCTTGTAAACAGGCAAAGAATCTGTCGACCACTGCAACATTGTACGCTTGATCTCCTTCGCCACAGCCAAAAAGTCACCTTTGGCACTATGAGGATTGGTCACAAAGCACTCCATAAAGACCCTGATATCAGAAATGGTCATCTCTGACGATAAACTACCGCCAGCATTGATAGAGCCATCCGCTGTTGTAAAGAAATCGATGCATTTCGAATTAAGACCTGAATGACTTCGAGCAACATTGTCATAGTTATTGTTATACCACCCTTTGGTCACATCAAAAGACCTATCATCTGTAAACAACTGTGACACGGAGGGACGCCACGATAACAACACGAGTACTAAACCAACAACCACTAAGAATGCGGTAGCAGACTTATTCTTTCGCCAGTTGTAACTCTTGACAAGTTGCGCCACCTTGCTGTCACCTATTCGCTTAGACTGCTCGGTGATACGTAGCCTTATGTTGGTATTAAGATACGCATCCATTTCTGGCCCCTGAGCTATTTGTCTCCACTGCTGCTCCTTTGCCGTGTTGATAAACAAACTTTTGGTTGCCAGCTGGCCAGTTCACTTTTCCTGCGCACGCGCGCGATCCACATTATACCGTTTGTAGGCTTTAACGGTACGAGCCTACAATCGGGTGTTCGTTGGCTGTCTGCCCGTTTCAGCTGGTTCTAGCATCACTTTGCTCACTTTTTGCTCAAACGGTACCTTGTGCTGCGTATGGTGATGAGATTTCTCATCTTCTGATCCTAATTGAGTATGCCTTACAGTTGCTGAGGCTAGTGGGCCGTGTACAGTCTGTGGGGAATCTACGACGCTCTCTCCAGGCACACACAGCTCATCATCCTGCGTCAGATCATCACGTGACCGCATGCTGAGTCCCTGGGGCTTGGAATGGCTAGTTGATTAGTCTGAGAGCTTGTAAATCTTTCGAGAGATCTTCAGCTGTCAGAGATATACTAAAGTTTTGGTTTGTTATAACAGTGTGTTGTGATTTGATGAGGAGAGTTTGGCGATATGGGTGCTGTAGTAGTGTAGCAGTGACACAGGCGAGTTGGATGATCATATGGGGGGGTCAGTATGTAGAGCAGCTACACTGTTAACGAGAAACAGGAAAGGATATACGTTTGGTTGTATTTGCCTGCAGTTAGAGTGCTGTGAATCAGTGTGGTGTTGTAGAAGTGCGGTGCCTTAATTACTGCACGTGTATACCAAATGAGATCCTCCACCAGAAAGAAGGATTGGCAAAAATGGTGTATCAATGGTACAGAGGCCTGTACTCGCTTCTAAGACGAGCTCACGTGGCTAAGTATCATTCCTACCAGCCATACTTCTCAGGTGATATTGTGCATGTGACCGTCGTGAAGTGTGAATTCTGGTGCAAATGGTAACACTCGTCCTGTTCACCACCAATCACATCATAGGCACAAATTACAGTATTGCCACAGTGCCTAGTTTCTTTTGTAATGAACTCAGCAGCTTCGTCCAAGTCACTTTTGCCTTGTTCCTGTGATTTAGGGACAATCACATCATGGAATTCCGTCCTAGACTTGAGATATTTCTTGTTGGAAAGAACGTCGGACGTTCCATGTGTTGTTTTGGCATTAGAATCACAATTGGCGCCACCGTCTGTAATAAAGAGAACGCTCTGGGAAAGCATTCCATCAAGAGAATCAAGGTATACTCTATGAACAGAGCCGGTCTCCTTAGCACGGGATTTGAGAGCAATATGGTTTAATTTTCAATTGAATACACCAACGACACCAACTGGAATACTGTGGACTGGAATTGCTTTAATCACACCTGACCATGCAAGCGAGGGCCAAGTCGTATCGACTCTTAGGTTCTCAGTTGCAATTTCTAACTTTGAGAGTACTAACTGTATTGCGATTGAAAACCCGGTGGTGTGAAACTTTGAGTCGAGGACGATAACGTTGTTGGAAGTACTGTACAGCCTTGAGTTCCGAAGGAACCTCGTTGAGTTCATCAAAGACAGATCGACAGTTTCCATATCAAAGACTATCTTATCAACATCATTGAGTATTAAATCCTTGAAAAGCACCAATTCCTGTAGTTGCACTTTGGTTATCAGTTTGTAATTATCAAAGAAGTAAGTACCGTACTTTTTCAACAACGGATTGTGGGAAATGTCAAGACGCCTCTTTGTAGGCAACTTTGATGGTTCGATCAGGATTGCATCTTTGAACGAGGTGAATAATAAGGCAGCAGCACTAAATGAATGCTTGTCGAGAAGATCGTCATAACCAGAGTCCAATGCCACTGAGAAAGCCACCGTCCATGCCTGCTTGAGAGGTGGGAAATCATAGTTGAAATAATGTTGCGAGGAATCTAGAAGTTTAGCTGAAATGAAATCTGCTTGCACTTATCGTTCAACGCAGACCATAGCCCTGATTCTTAATTAGTTGAAAGAACATGAGAATGGACAATTTGCACAGGAATATAACCTTCCTACCAACATCATTAGAAGACACAAATCCGTCACACTTTACTATATGTAAGAACCGACGAATGGACAGAAGTAGGTTGATGTTGTGTCCAATCGCTTCACTCAACAGGTCGCACAACAGGTAGCTCAATAGAAGCGTTTGCACTTCAGCAGGTCAATCCAGGCGAATGAACAACATGGAAAGATGATTTGTGAAGCAACAAGAACAGGTTGTGTGTCAATTTCCGTCGTTAAAGCCTAGGATAATTTGGTATTTCGATGAGCCTTGGTGAGAAGCCTGGTAATCTGGTGTTGGGATGTTTCTAAACAATCTCATCTCTAGGGGCACAACTGGTGTTGGGATGTTTATGGTGATGGTGTTGTTTGTATGTGTTGGAGGTTTAATGATATTGTTCTTATGGTTATGAGTAGATGACGTATCTGACGAGGCTTCTGGTGGTATGAGTATTTGATAAGAACGCGATGGCCTATAGTTAATGCGGTGGTTGAGGAAATTATAATATGGTTTGTATATTCCTGTTTACGATTGTTGTCATATATTAAAAGTTCCTATTGAAACTGAATATGGTAAATTTGAAATAAAAAGATTGAACAAATATTAAACAAGTTATAAATCGCAATACAGTGGGGCATCATCTGTTGTAATTATTTCTGCGATGATTTTCGAGTTAATAAACGCTATAAATCCATTTTCTACTTTGCTAATTGATAACTCATAGGAACGTTTTGCACTGTTTCCATGTGCTATACCTGAAAATACCACATTTGCTATTGCCCGTGATGTCAAAATCGACTCCAAGATGCCAATATATACCGCCTGTCCCAGTTTTATTCATGCACACATCCAAGGAAGCCATAATTGATTAGTATAAAAACCTACGAGCTTATTTTATTACTAAATGGATACCACCATGACAATGGATTATGCGTAAAAGAAAAACCACTTGAGGTTCATACTACACACAGACTTCAACTACAAATCTAACATCAATAAGCCCAAAACAGTCTCCCATGAGCCAACTCTTTCAGTAATATATTGCTTTTCTAGCTTTGTAGTGCCCCGCTTATAATACTCTGTTTAAATCGATGAACATTGGCTTTAGGCAGATTGTGAAGTGGATGAACATTATCGAATTGTGATGTGATAGTTCAATCTCGGTTACGCTCCCTATTGTTATGAATGCGATTTTCCATTAGATGCGTCCTTCAGCAGCCATCTGTAGTGATGTGGAACAATCTCGGGCGTGGCCGTAGGCATCAGTGACTTCCTTAGCTATCTGTATTAGCGTCTTGCTCCTCCATATCCCGACGTAGCTGAAGTGACAAAATCCTGTCTAATTCTTCAGAGCCGGTTCTGTAGTTCCTTCTCCCCATTGGATAGGAGATTCTCCTGACACACGAGTACCACAAGCGTCCATTAGACCAAACACACTATCGATTGATGCTTTTAAGTATATGATAACGGCACGGTAACCCGTGGGCAGTGCACAGAGGTTCCTTACCATGGAGGAGATTCCATTTGTTAGACCATCCACAGAGCAAACTAAAAGTAACGACATCTCAAATGGTTTACCACCTTGCAACGTCTCTGTACTAGCATCATTAGCATGTGAGTGATATCCGGCCAGTGTTAGCAACGTCAGAGGATCCGACTACACTGGAACATGCACATATGAGAAGCATATATGCCAACGCATATGCCAGTTATGCTTGTTGCTAAGCCATCACAGATGACTCTTTCCGTCAACTTCTTGTGTATTGTGGAGAGGAGACGTACTTCAGTGATGGACTAGTCCTGGGCCCCTGATACCTCTTGACGCAGCTCCATGATATGAACAGGATAATGCGACTGTAAATTAGGACGATACGGACTTATATTGCACAAAGAGACGATATGGAGTCTGAAATAGCTTCCTTCGAGAAACTCAACTGACTCGTCGTCAACATCAACACGTCATTGACTTCAAAAGTAACATAAACATGGCGATAGGATGTAGCTCTCAATCGTAAGAGGACCTGAGGATTTTCTCTAGTCCCATACTGGTGGGATGAATGTTTTGGTTTTCGTCCGGCCTCGAGGAAGTTTGGCCTCCTGCAAAAGTCAAAAGTGAAGGACATTTTGCGAGACATCTAGGTCAAGGTTCACGTCAAGTCTCAAATCTTTCGCAATTTCTATTCTTCACATGTTATGCTTAGGGCCAAAAGGCTCTTGATTGGTATGGTGATACCTGCTTAGACCAACTTCCTTAGTCCGCACCAGGTTTTGCCCTTTCACGCCGTACTTTTCTAATTGGGGTTCACGTTTACCCTTGTATGCGGCTATAGTCCAGGGGACAGAAATGAACTCACAATAAGAAATAATGCGTTGTAGATAGAATGTGTGTTCTTACGTAGTAATCCGGTAGATCCTACTGACTTCAAATTATGATTAAAACCATCGTAGGCGTACGGATCAAGGCGCTACCATCAATCAAAGTTACGTTCTCCTCAAAAGACTAGAAACATTCGAAAAGAGAAAACAGAGTTCTTTGTGGAGTTTCGGTGTTGACACGATGTCCAGGTAAGTATTCGAGGACATTAAGAAGAAAACCAGGCATTTTAGTACTTCTACGTTACAACCTACAAAGTCCCCCTAGTGTTGAACAAAAGAGGTCTTCCGGAGTAATGGTACTGTAAACTCACCATTACTCAGTCCTGGTCGCTCTCACTATTTCACCATTTATAAAAGGCATGCAGAGAGATACAGTTTAGAAGGCACCGCCGTTCCGCTGATGAGACTAATAGTCCCGGTCTAGTCACGCAAGAATATTACTTATGCGTGCATATGAGGCTGGACTCAAAGTATTGAGCCTAGAGTTCTGCCATTTTGAGGCTGTCTGGACATAAACAAATCGTTGAAATCACATACTCCCTTTTCCTTTGAAACAGACCACGTCCTCAATTTTTGGGTTTCTTGAAACAATATTGTCAGTCGCCTGGACCTCGCAATTCACCATTCTACATATACTCTCCTTAGTTAATCTGTTGTTGCTTATGAGGTTATTTTCCAAACTGTGAAGTTAGTCATAAGAACCACCAAATGGATTTAAAATTTGACATAAGCTTCGTAATACGCCGTTCAAGGAGGACTGTGGCACTCCAACATTTATGTTTCTACTCAAATGCTGACCTTAGAGGCCACTCATGCCTGTGCAAATCTAGGTTAGTCTAGGCCAAAACTCAAAGCCTTTTCGCAACCCTCAACTTTGCGTGGATCAGATTAATACACATGCATATTACAACGCATATTATTCCAGCTTTACTGCGTCAGGCGCAAATTGTAACTCATGTAACTTTTTTTTTGGAAATGCGGTGGTGTCTTATTGTCGACTGTTTCACTCTTGGTTTAACTGTTCCATGTCACGTCCCACTCCTCCCTTCAACTTTGTATTCCATCTCTTTTAATCGGTTTCTCAATCGTTGCTGTCGTTTTGTTCGATAGGAACAAGAAGACATGATTTTGAAGATGAAAAAATTCTTGTTTGGCTTCAGATCCAGCGGGAGAGCAACCGTCATAGCTATTTTGGTTCTTGTTCTAATCGTCAACTTCCATGCAAAGTTTGGATTGGAGACTTTGAATACTCCCGAGGACTTTGCAACCATCACCAAGAAGATCAATACCAAGGTTATGCTCAAGAAGTATAATGATATAGATGCCTACAGAGTTAAAGAGGTTTACCAACGGGGAGATTTGAGATCAAGATTAGCTCAGGCATTCCCTTATACCAAAAGCCCTGAGCCTCTACAGAAGAATATCTGGCAGCTTTGGAAGACAAAGATTTTTGAAGAACTGGAGGAGAAACTGCAAGAGTACGTCCAAACTTTCAAAGACCAGGAAGCACCTGAAAAGGGCTCTTTCAATTACACATTGTTTGCCAACTCAGAACAGAGTGACATGGTGAAAGATATGTTTGCAGAAGTACCAGAAGTGTGGCAAGCTTATGAGAAACTGCCTAAGATTATCTTGCAGGCAGATTTTATGAGATACCTTGTCATATACGCAAGAGGTGGTATGTACTCTGACGTTGATACCTCCTTAACGTTGGATGCACAAGATTGGCTAACGTACAAAAACCCAATATATGACAGGGAAAACCAAATTGGATGTGTTGTTGGAGTGGAATCAGATTCTGATGACTTGGATTGGCAAAGAAATTGGACACCTCGTCGCTTACAATTTTGCCAATGGACGTTACAAGCGAAAAGAGGACATCCAGTCTATAGAGATTTGATTGCAAGAATCACAGAAACCACGTTGAACAACTACGACGAAGAATCCGGGAATTTGACTATTGGCGAAAAGACTTATAATATTAACAACGACTCGCCATCGAGATTCTCTGCGATATTGGAGTGGACTGGACCAGCCGTCTTCACAGATACTGTTTTCAATTATATGAATGAGGTCTACAAGTGGAGCGAGCAGCTTTACGGAATGGACTTCTACAATGAAGGAATGGTTGATCCAAATAGACCTTTACATCTACAGGATAAGATAAGATACCACATGCTAAGGGAGAGCACACATAATGAATATGACCCAATAGCTTCACCTTTGGGCTGGCAGAACTTCACATACCTAGAAGAGCCTGTCTTGTTCGACGACGATTTGTTGATCCTACCTGTAAGGTTCTTCCGTGGTAAAAAAGGCGAGAGGGATGATTATACCCACCATCACTTCAAGGGAACATGGAAGAACGATTGATATGTAATAACAATTAAAATGCATTTATAAGAAGTGAATAACAGTATGAGATACTACCTCATAAATCCTACATTATATAAGCCCGTTTTCAATTGAAGTTAAAGATCCCACCAAACTCTTGAGATAGTGTCATATAAAACACGGTCACTATCTTGGAAGCTTTTGATAAATGAATGGTACTTTTCATCCTTTTGAGCACCGATAATATTATAGGCACACATTGCAGTACCACCGCATAACCCAGCCTTTTGCGAGATGAATTCAGCAACTTCACCCAAATCGTTTTGCTTGTCCAGCTCTTGCGGTTTAGGTACAATGATGTCGATGAGATTTGTTCTAGCACGTAGGAATTGATTCTTATTTTTGAAAGAGCTGTAGAACTTTTTAGAAGTCTCCTCTTCAACATCCACATCTTCATCACAGTTTATAGCACCATTGGTAAAGAACAAGACACTTTGAAGAAGGTCACCATCGAGTGAATCAAGATATGCCCTATGAACCGAACAAATCTCTTCAGACACAGATTTGTGGGTCTCACGATTTATTTGACGGGTGAATTCACCGACAACTGCTACTGGAATATCGTGGATAGGGACCGCTTCAGTGGCACCAGATGATAGAAGTGAAAGCCAATTGATATCACCGTTCAGCCCTTTCGTCACGAGTTCCAACTTTGCATATTTCAGCTGTACTGCTATCAGTAGCCCAGTAGTATACCGCTTTGTATCGAGGAAAATAACGTCATTAGAGGTGCTGTAAGATCTTGAATCTGCAAAGAATCTGGTGGTATTTAATAAGCTGAGATCGACAGTCTCCATATCAAAAACGGCTCTATCGACGTCACTTGGTAGCAATTCTTTGAACAGCTTTAATTCATTGAGCTCCACTTTGTCTCTTAGTCTGTAGTTACCAAAGAAATATGCACCGTATTTCTTCAATAAAGGACTATCCAAGATCTCAAAGAGTCGTTTCGTAGGCACTGTTGATGGATCAATCAAAATTGCATCTTTGAATGATGTGAACAACAAAGCAGCAGCGTTGAAAGTATTTTTGTCAAGGAGGTCACCATAACCCAAATTCAGTGTCGCAGATATGTCCATAGACCACACCTGTGTCAAAGGTGGGAATCCAAAATCATACCCTGGTGGCATAGAATCCACAGATTCAAGTGGAAGGTCAGATGTTTCAATTCTTCTGTTCATCGCGGACTGCAATTGAGACTCTTGCTCTTTAGAAAGCACACCCAAATGAACAATTTGCACTGGGACATCAATTGCAAAGAATCTCAAAAGCTTGATCAATCTCAAAGAATTCTCAAAGCCGGTCTTTGAAAGCACAGGAATCACAACACCTCTACCATTTTTGGAGCTTCTCAAGTTCTGGAAGAACGAAGCCAGTAAATCAGGCTCAATAAAATCTTTGTCGAGAACCGGGACGTTGTGTTCAAAGGATACCCCATTATTGGTAATTCTTTTGAGTTGTGCTTTCAGTTGAGAGCACCAAGGGAACAACTTGATGCCGAAATCGTTTGACAAATGGTGCTTGAGATTCTTCTGCGAGCCTCCTTTACTGAAAGACCAGCCATTGCTGCCGAAAATGTTGTAGTGTATGAAACATTGAGAATATACCCTTGTATCTGTGATAAGCTTCTTCAAATCCTCGCTTTGGCTTGTGAGCTTTGAGGTACTTTCCTTCGAGACTTTCTCACCTTCTTTGTTAGCTGCTTTCTCAGATGGTGATAGCACCCATGTCGATGCAAATGTTGGAACCTCAGACTTGTCTTCGAGCCCCTTGAAGTATTGAATACATTTGTCTTCGAACGTCAATGTTTGCGATTTTTTGAGCACGTCTTTATAGTACGGTTGCAGGCCATGTGGTAGCTCTATGACGCTTTGTTCGCTGGCTGTAGATGAACTATCCCATCTAAGCAGTGTGGTGAACAACAGTACGGAAAAAAGAGATACAAGGATAAGTCTCCATCTGTTGCCTTTCATTAGAGTCAAATCACCGTTTCGCCCAACAATGTGCAGAATTCCGTTAACAGAACGATGTAGACTCATTGTTTTGTAAGTCTTACTCGACCTGCTAGAATTTGCAAGTGGGATAGAAAACACGCCAACAGAAGGATCGTCATCAAAACTCCAAGGGAGTAGAAACGCCGAATTAGAAGGAGTGGGATCTTGCTTCAGTTGCAAAAAAATATATACAAGTTTTTGCAGATACTCGCCTTTCTGCATATGTGACCTAGCATTATGCATCAGTCTGCATATATATAGTCCCTTATTGGCTCACTATTGCTTAGTATGTCCACTAGCAACTTGCAGAAATGGGAAATGCAAAATCCTTGCGCAAACTTTCCCTATTTAGATCATTTTTGGAAAAATGGCGAAAATCCTTGGAAGTGGAATTTTGATGTTTTTACAGAAAATGTAGTCAGAAGACGCATGGTTACGTATGCCAGGCCTATGAAAGAATCACAACAACAGCTACTACTACTGCTGGAGCGCAATAGAGTTTTGAGAGGTAGATGAGTAACCAACTCTTCACATCTGAGATTCCTAGAGGTATGGATGTGATTGTCACTAATGGCAGTATATTGATGCCATAGGGAATACCAACATCCGTTCTGGGCGGCCAATTCTCCCATTTCTTAGTTGAATTAACAGAGTTATCAATGGAAGACGGTGGTGATTATATGTGTGTCTTAGAGATGCTTACATGGGGCTTTGATTGATTTGCAGTTCGGTTGGCATGATGAGGATCAGGACTTGCATGGTGTTGATGATCTGCTTAGGCAACCATCCAACGATCTGCTATTGTTGAGTAGAGGTATAACGAACCCTGAATTCAAGCCCAGGGAAATAGCTTGATTACCAGCTTTGGGGCTTGGTGTTAGAGAAACGTTATTTGGGACAAAACATTATAGACCATTGCCAGTAGAGATGCGTTGTATTTTTCTTTTTGATGCAAACATCTAACCATGCTGCCTCCTGTTTCTATGTTACAAGTAGGGGAAATGTTGTCAGTAATCACTTTAAGAAGGCTTCTTCTTTCATTCCTTTCTCCTCATGGTTGAACGCTTGGGCATCGTTATTGTCCTATTTGATATCTTGCCTCTTCCTTTGGTGGCGGGGTTAGAATCTCTTCT